CGCAACTGAAAAGTATATTTGTGTGCATGTACATGAAATTTAGTGTATTTTTCGTAAAATTTTGCGAAGTTTAGTACATTTTTTATTAAATTTTATGTAGATTTGCATGAAATTTAATGTAAGTAAACGTTAAATTTATGTTACTTATAACTTCATTTTCATTGGCAACATTAAATATGTACCTGCTTGAAATTTGCTTCATGTTACATGTAGCGGAAGTAAATTTCTGTTTTTTAATAGCGTATATAAAGAATATAAATAGGTAAATAGGTAATTTCCTTAAAGCATAATCGTGAAATTAGCAATTTGTACCGGAATACGGCTAGATACGTTTAAACGTTGCGTTAAGGAATCTGCCATCAAAGAGTATTAGTCAATCGCTCTCCCTATATAAGCAGGTGGAGATTACTCACAATCAGTCGAAGTGTAGTTCATACGGTTAACGAGCTGACCGCACGAGACACCCACAGTTGATCCACGTGCCGACCTCACCGACGTTCGAACTCTGATCTTGCATTTGTGGTCAATCAGCAGCTTTGATATCAAAGGACCTGGAGCCAGTAGAATGTAAAGGTAACGTTTGCAAAACGCGTAATTCCAATATAATTATCTAAGATCTTAACGATAATTACCCGTGTCTTTTCCGCTTCCGCAGTCACATATAATTTCTCTTGACATAACCATTGCAAATTATCAGAATAATATCAATGAAATATGTTTGGGATATTCGCAGCGTCGTAAGCTCCGTGACGTAATAATTTCAAGCTACGTGAACGAGTCGCGTTAAAAAAATTTCATAACGAAAATAATAATTGCGATACTCATAACAGGAATTCATAATAATTCAAGTTGTATGCCATACAACAATACGCTTCACGTAGGAAAGAGCGTATGGCTTGTCAGCGGAATGCATTTAACTCTGACACGCACAGCGCTTTAAACTCATCAGCTTTTACATGGGATTTCAAATGACTCGCAGGAGGTTTCAAACGAAAAACGCAAGTCAGTTGGTCAATCCATTAGAAGCATTTCGTTCGAGAGTTGCTGCGTAATGCTTGCGATTCGACTGACTTGCATTACACATGCATTGCCTCAGGAAGCATATGCCGCCGACTTATGACATTCCTTCTCTTCCCTTTACTGAAATCCATCGCTCACGGTTTTAAAATGCAGGATTCTATTACTATAATGCGGGATCTTATTACGAACGGGAAAGAAACGTGCACAAACGTTTCTTACGTACAAAAGAAAAATACGGAAATTTCATTAACGGAAAAAAAAAAGAAACGGTAAACAGAAAGTCGCGGGTTTGCACATACGTGACCAAAACTATTAGCACCCTTTTACATTGTGTTTCTATTTTTTAGTAACCGTTGGGCTAACAGGAGTACATTTTTCGGAAACGCGCTTTTGCCACATCCCTTTGTTGTCGCCTGTGTACCGACACTCAGTTTGCACGGATCCCAAGTGCTGCAAAATGGTGCGGGATGTTGTTGCGTTGTTTGACGACTGCAGAATCTGAACCCCGCGCGCTCGCGAGTCGTAACTACCAAGTTTCATATAAAATTGCCCGATAATGGCCACAGTGGTTTCGGATTGACGGCCGGCTCTTTTATACCTATGCTCATGCAAACACGTTTTCATTCGTTCTCGTCCGATCCCTGTCAACGGTTTGTCCACCCAACCCCGGGGTTTTCGCATATGTCCGAGCTCGTCAGTCTCGTAACTTTATAAGCAATAACCGAACGCGAGCGCGACAGGTTTATGGGTTGCTCGCCGCGATCTTTACGCCCTTGCATCACCGCTGCCAGGTGCGGTCAGGGCTTTTTATGCATACGTGTTTTACGAGGCACGAGCTCTCCTTATCACGGTCCACGTGTAGACAGGAAAATAAAACGTAATTCCACGGCAAGGAAAAAAGAAAAAGACGGAAAGAGAGAAAGAGAAAAGAGGAGAGAGAGGGAGAGTTACATGGTCGTGTGACTTTTAGAGATACGTTCGCTTATCGGATATATGACCTGGCTTAGGTCAAATTGTGGTTTACCATAGTGACCTGCAATTCTTTCGGATTTTCGTATAAAAGTTGAGACTAAACAAAAGAGAATTCATATTCTATGTACATTTTATTAAAACATTAGATAAAGCTTTGTGTGAATTTAATACTTATTTAAATCAAATTTTAAAATAGCTATATTGTGCATTTGTGTCCCAAAATTGAAAATTTCGATTTATAAAAAAAAAACAAAACATAGATAACATGCGTTTTCTACGTATTATATTTAGATACTGTTCACGACGATGAGTCAGTGTCGACCGACGTCGCGACAAATACGAATAATAGTGTACTAGGAGTCTAGAGTCATCGATTGACAAGTACTATGTGCGTACTTTGTATGTACGTCAAAGAACAAATATAGCGATAGTTCATAAGCGTTCCTATTTTTATGTCGTTACAACGGAAATAATACTATCTTTCTTATGCACTGTCGCAAGTGTGGCAATTCTCAGGACAATCCGATTTTATACTCTCGAGTGTTCAGATATAGCACCTTAGACCTCATTTCCTCATCAGAATAGTCGTAGCATAACATTAATGCGGTCTTACGTATCATATTTAGAATCTGACTGGCAATAAGTACCAGGAAAAGTTCAAAGCGTATTAATTTTTCTTTCTAAACCACATAGCTGTATTCATAAACTTTGTGTTCCATAAATAAAAGTGTCTGTCTTGATACGAATGATAAGTGTGATACAATAACATTTACAAGTGCGATCAATGTTTTAAACTATTTTTTTTTTCTTAGTCGCTGTTAAAGAAGCAGGTCTGTTATTATTTAACGCGATTAGATATCAAGCATAGCTTGAAGAAAATTATAACTGCTCTGAGAAAGAGATACATATCATATGCAGTATACACATGTGTATTGTAATACGCGTACAGAGTGTATGTTTAAACATTCTTATCATTATAATAACATCGCAATCGTTAAACACTTGGCTACCGTTTGTACATATGACATCACCTACCTTATCTACTCGCGTAAAACATTTTACCTCGAAAAACATGATTTACAAGATTAAATTAGTAATTTCAAAGTAATTGTAATAAAATATAAATTAATAATTTTTCTGAAAAAGAAATCTCTCTGCACAGAAAGAACAGATTTTGTTAAAATCTAAAAAAATTTAACTACATAGATGCAAATTTAAAAATAATTTTTAATCAGTGATCTAATTTTGGGACATTATTGGTATTTAAGATTAAGTTTATTGAAAATGTCCAAAAATAATCGGCGCACAATCTCTCTCTCATTTCCGAAATAAATTTATTTAAAATATATATTAGATATATAGTAATCCAATATCTAACTTTGACCATATAAATTGGCATTTCGTATTTATTTAATTTATTCATATAAACGTTTTTTTTTTCTAATCTTAGTAATATGAAAATAATTTTGTTGAATCATCAAAATTATTATGTAGCATGCTTAAGCATTAATAACAATTCTAATAATTAGTTTGAGTGTTCTACATAATTATTTTGTCGATCTAAATAAAATTATTGTCAAATCTGTATCTTAGCAAAGTTATTAAATACTTTAGCAAATCTGTTCTTTCTATATGTAAAAATAACATATTTTTCCATAAAATGTATTTCCATAATATGTATTTCTAAAATTGCTCCAATATTATGCTCATAATGCTATCCCACAGCTACAATTTTTACATTTAAAAATTGCATATGTTTCTATCTAGTCCACAAATATAATCTCTTCGCGTCCCGTCTTCGTTTATGACAGAACTGGGACAGCGTGACGGTACTCGGCGGGTGCTCCATATGTTCAAGTATTCGAAGTAACCGATTACTTCGCTTATACATCGGCAACAGAGGATTATCAAGAGAGCGCTGATCGGTCCTCCCCGATGAGATCCATTAAAACGTAATCAATGAAGGACCGCCACGTAGAACCGCGAATTACGCTCCTCCCTACTGCGCGTAGTTTTCAGAAGCGGAAACTGCGGACGAACTAGGTACTTCAGCGTAGCTTCACGAGTAACGCGACTAGAACGGGGAGGAGGTAGAATAAGTAGGTTAACGAAATGGTCGTTCGCAAGCTTGAGATACCGCCACCAATTTCCAGTGGTCCTCAACTTGATTCGAAGTTCCTCCTAACAGGCAGGATACCCCGTGCTAGAATGCGCCACGAAGCGACAACAATTTTCCAGTCGGTTGTTCCTTCTCCATGCCGCCATGCATGCGCAAAATGTACTTTGTACGTAAACCTCGGAAATAGAAGATGTTCCTCTCTGTTTCCCCGTATCTCGTACCAGTTGTCCCGCGCGGCTCTTTGGAAGCGACCTCCCCGAACTCCAACCAGCGAAGATTCTGCCTCGTGCCTCGAAGAAACGTAAAAAAAAAGGGCAAATTATTGGGAGTCTTAAAAGGAAGCGAGGCAGCACTTGATTAGCGCATATAAGAAAGACATTCCACGAGTGGATTCTTCGCGGTCCGTTTTTACTCCGGATCGTTGTCGCGTTTCGCTTCGGCGCTAATTGCATTACTATCGACACTTCTTCCAGATTCCTTCCTCAACGCTCGCATAGTCACGACTATCCCTCTTACCTGGTATCGCAATATTCAAGTATTCATAGATGACAATTGACGAGAATATAATTAGTGGAATAATTAGTAATTAATTATTTAGTTAATAATTAGTTAGCAATTGTAATAACAGTTAGAAACTAGAGAATATAATTAGAAAATATAATTAAATACGTGATAAGGGCAAACTTTTCTGATTCATAAATAGGAGAACATGAATAATAATGACTATTTTGTTTTAGAGCGTCATCAATTGACATACATATTATATCTGTTATTTAAAAAATTAAAATTTATCACACAAATAGCTCATGTGTTCTACGATTTTATATATAAGTATATGTAAGTTTATAGATAAGAATATAAGTTTGAGAATTTAAAGGAAAATATACAGTTATATCAGTTACATTGATTTATTGATGACATGTACAAGACTTAAAAGCGAATAACCAAAATATTCAGTAACATATCTTTTTCTCAACGGCAATGCAATAGTGATAGTGTTGGTATAATAAATAGCTCAGAATGTATTAGATTGGTGTAGCTTTAAAATTGTTTATTTTACTTCTCTTCATCGTAATTGTATCCAGAAATCGTATCAGTCATAGAAGTAGCTGCTTTCACTGTGGCTAATTAAGGTCGTCCATACACATTAAGGGCGAAATTAATGCTATGACCTCTCAGACTTTTCCATCTCAAGGTGACGTTGCTGTGTCCAGGTCCACCATTCAAAATACTACAGTGTGCGCCGTTTCCGTTCGTCTTCTGATCCAATGCTTCAATGTAGGTGATACGTTCGTACCTCGAAATATTGAAGGTCCTTTCAATAATTTGAATCTTCATCCAGCTAGAATTCTTGATGATGTTCTCTCTGAGGACAATCCTGTCACCAGGCATCCTGTAGCCGACGATCAGATGGTGCGACTTATTATTGTCAGCATAGGAAGAGATAGCTCCATTGGCAGAGGGTACAGTGGTGATGGTCAATAGAGCGGCGACCAGAACAGTCAGACCGATTATGTACTTGTATGCTGACATCTTGCCTTAATTCGGACTCGAAAACCGCGTTACTATTACTGCAGGAAAGCTACTTGGTTTCTGTCGACGAAACGGGCATTCGGCGTTTAAATAGATGGAATAATCGCTTATCGCTCGGCTTATCATGATTATATCGCTGATGTCCCACCTGTTCTGGAAAGATACATTCCGCGAAAGAATCATTCTGATTAATACAAACTCGTCGCAACATGTTTAAACAACATTTCTCGCTATTTTATATAATAGAGAGAGAGAGAGAGAGAGAGAGAGAGAGAAGAAGAAGAAGAAGGGGGAGTAAACAGTATTATTTTTAATGAAATTTTTCAAGGGGGTAACCACTAGAGCTAAAATATTGTCCCACAGATTACATGATTTCATCTGATTACAAATAATTTTTTTCACTACTATGAAGTAATTTGGTAAAATATACGATTTTATTTAATATTATACAATGATATATTTCTCGTGGTTGCATATATAATTATCGGATTATATATAGAGATTTTATATAAATTTTATGATTTCGAGGATTCTGTCCCACGATTACATTAAGTGGTTACCCCCTCCAAATTTGTACCAAAGCGCACTGATGAGTTTATCATTCATGTTTTGTTAGTTATTTTATGATATTAACTTTATTATGAGTAATTTTATATTTGCTAAGAAAACATTAACATTTAATAATAAAAGGTGCATTAATTTTAGTTATATCATTACGGTAAGAAAATATTAATATTTAATAATAAAAGGTACAACAATTTATTATCATAAATTAAATTCAAAGCAACTAGAAACATGATAACATATACGCGTACTGACCGATATTCCCTCTATAATGCATAATGGATAATTATTTTAATTAGATCTTTAATTAGATGCGTCGGAGATATTGCAATCATTATTACTCTCCTATACATACGTTTCTATTCTGGTGTGATTCATTAAGAGTATATAGATTACGAGTTGGTATCAATATAATAAATCAATATTTTTATCTCTTAAATGTTATGAAACCTTTACGAGAATCATATCTCTTAATTGTCTCATTCTATCTTTGGAATTGATACAATTCACAAAATAAGATTGTACATAAGGCCAATAGCTTTACAGATGTCGGCGATTATTATTATTGTGAATAATGAATCATAATGAAAAATACTTGATATGGATTTAATAATAGCGATGAGAGAAACTACAATGCCGGTGTATTCTAATGATGTATCATGTATACTGGTTAAACATTGCACGTACAATACATACATGTGACATTTAATGTATATCTTCGGTAGTCAACATAGTAATATTTATACATACAATAATTGTTAAGCATTTTCACGTATACACATATATTGTTGTGTGTGTATGTGTGTATTAAAATATATTACAAATATTTAAAATATGTTTATATATATATACATATACATGTATATATATATATATATATGTATTAGGTGTTAAACTTAATTCTTGCCGTTTTTCGTCTCCAAAATTGATTTGTTTCGAAGGGAAGATGAATGAATACCTCAATCAAAGTAATTTCCTCCATTTTCTACTTTATTACTAATTAATAATACTTTGAATAAGGTATTTCCCTTCGAAGCAAATCAATTTTGGAGACGAAAAACGGCAGGAATTAAGTTTAACACCTAATATATATGTATATATGTATATATTATATATTGTACATATGTGGTAAAATTGCTAAATAAGAACAGATTTCTATATCATTTTCTTATTCCAAAAGTGACAATTTAAAAAATGTGATTTTCGAATTATTACTATGAATGAGTCAGATATAAAGATTATGTTATATCAATCATAAAAGATAAACTTAATTTCACAGTCCGTTCGCTAAATAATTCTCATTTTTAAGATTTTCAAAGAAATTATAATATCTTCTATACAAGAGAAACACATTTTGAGTTGTATCGTTTTTGTAAATAAAAAGGAAGTTCTTCTCAGGGTTGGGAAGTAACGCGTTATTTGTAACAACGTTACTTTTTCGTTACTTTTTTTCGGTAACGATTTGGTAACGCCGTTAATTTTTTTTATTAATAATGAGAAAGTAACGAAATTGACCCCGTTATTCTTGTATCGTTACTTTTTTATAGGTCACGGCCGTCACGGACAATAAAATTATACATATTATAATAATACATATTATACATACTATAATAAATAAACAAAAAACTTTTTGTCTATTTTTGTTTTAATCACTGTCGTCGCTTTAGCATAAGAACACTAAAAACTAAAGTATCTATTATATAATAAAATACCACAGAATTAAATATAAGTATATAAAATATTAATAAAAGATAAAAATATTCAAAGATAAATATGTTTCTAAATATCCTATAGTTTAGTTAGACTCTATCTTAGAAGCCTGTTTTACTATTTTAAAAAGTGTAATTATACAGAAGACAGGTTTATTCATTGATTTTGATGAAATTAGGACAGATTTCCTTATTTTAATAGTCATTAACTTTAACCATTAATCTCAGTTTACCGGGCAGAGTGACATTTATTTTTCTGCCAGATTCGTATATTTCGTGCAAAAATGCGTCGAATGACTCTAATTTCATCAAAATCGGTGAATAGTAGGCTCGTCTCATCCTGCATAATTACAAAAAAAAGTAACGAAAAGTAACGACTTTTTATCGTTATTTTTAAGTAACGGTAACGCGTTATTTTTTAGAATCGGTAACGAGTAATGGTGACGCGTTACTTTTAAAAAGTAACTTTCCCAATCCTGGCTTCTTCTACAGAAAACATTTAAATATTAATTAAGATAGTTTTGATGATCGAAGTTAGAAAAGAAATGATTTTAGCTAAAGAAATATACACTGTTAGTGATATATTTCAATATTTATGTATCTTTAATGAAATTTAACTTTTAATTCTGAATTCATTATAATTTTATGGAATATTAAAATCGTCATAATTAAAAAAGGGTAGTTTTTTTAAATTAAAAATAACAAAAATGATATCTGATTATATTTTTTTAAATGTATTCTTTTACCAATATATTCTTTTTGGCAAAATTATTTGATTAGTAATTTGTTAATAATTTTCTGTTAATTTATTATAAAAAATATTTTTTCTACTTTTCTAAAAAAATTTAATTTTTGAGTTGTTTTTTATTTTTAAAGTAAAAGGACAATATAAAGATCAACGAATAATAATATATATTTGATGTTGATATTTTACAGCAATTAGAAAATAAATAAATATAAAAAATAATTACACGCATTATAAGTTGTGCTTGTCAATAATCTTATGTTAAATTTGTTTTACTTTTTATTTTGTGAAAGGAAAAGATATATAAGTACTCTGAGAAATTAATATTATATTTTGATCTTTCGTGACAAATTTTCCAAATAAGTGAAGCTCTCCGATTGCAAGGGTCACAGCTGCTTTGTCAAGGCTGTTGGAGACTGTTTGCTCAGATGCTTGTTAACCGTGTGAACACCCAATATGTTATCTCGTGTATGCACTTAGGTCCTGCATCGAGAATAGATGCACTCGGATCATTAAGTCAATTGGTGAATACACGGTGACAGAATATTAGCTATAACGGCTTCGAATTCTCTCTTACCTCATATTTATTAAAAATATATCGTATGTACGTATATGCGAATAATATCAACTTATAAATTATCTACCATAAAAAATAATATTGTTGCTCATTGCATTTTTAACACACCTATTGTTAATTAAAAATCTGCCTTAAGGGGTTATGCCTACCTGCATGGTCGGAAAAACACGTATAATTCTTGGGAATTTTTTTTTAAAAAAACTTGAAGTGCTTTTGAAATGAACGTTTATGTTTTCAAATATATGTATTTCGAGGATAATTCAGTATTTTTTTTATTGCAAAATATCGATAAATAAGGAAGATGTAAGTAATCTCCCAGAAGCAATTTTTCTAGAAGCGTTTTGCGGTAACCACTCTAGCTTTGAGCTGATTTATCTCAAATCAAAAAGCCCAACAAATTTAGTTAATATATAAGATTATCTAGTGTCCGATTGTTCATTTTTTGAAAAATTAAGTTGCGACAAAATGGCGGCTGTTCAAATTCGAAGATACGATTTTTTTATCAAAGTTCGCGCATTTTTTTATCAGTAAAAAACAAGTACGCAACGAAAAAAAACCACGATCGGGCACTAGATTTTTTAGTATTAAAGAAACCTACCAAATTTCATTTTGATCGATGCAGCGGTTCTCGAGATATTTTGGTCACTGATTTAAAAAATGCAGTTTTGAGAAAAATGCGTTTGAAGTTTGCCAAGTGATTTTGAAAGGTGTCTCCTAAAATATATCTTAGAGTCCCCCAATAATTCGGACTGTACAAAATTAAAAAAAAAAATACGCAATTTCACATAAAATACCTGCTTTAAACGTTCAAACCAGTATACCTTTAAACTCACATAACTTCGTCAATTTTTATCGAATCGACTTGAAATTTACAGGGAATATTTTTGAAAGTATGCACTTTAAGAAAATATCAAAATCCAAACATCGATTTTTTTTTAAGTTTACAGGTAGGCATAACCCCTTAATAAAAAGAAACCAATGAGAGCAATTAGATCGCAAGTAAGTATTTAACAATGTTTGTATACGAAGTTAATTGTACTTTATCAATTTACACTCCGATAAAAAGATGGGTTTATTCTGAAATCCGTTATTACATGATAAATCTCCCTAAATAGTATCGAATTTTTTTGCAGGTAATTCGAGAAAGTAGCTTATTCAGAGTTAATACACTGTTAAAAGAAATTTTTAACGCTTCGATAAACTTTTAAAATTTGTATATGGTTTGTAGGTGGTGACTTGAATTAAATAGTTAAAAAAAACGTTCCGATTAGCGATTGGAGATGTTTTACTCAATAAGAAATTATTTTGAAGATATCATAAATCGTATTTTATCTGATCATTCTTATCCAGAGTTTTTCACTCGCTAAGCAACTTTCGAATGAACGTCTGCTCGCAAATACATGTTTCACGTATACTCCACTAACGTGTATACGGATACCTGCCGTCTCCGCCTAACGTTAATTTACTGCAAACCACGT